TTATGGGTGTCTATGCATACTCTTGGAATTCAAGTGTTTTATTTTCTTTGGAGAAACAATCAATGGGAATGTCAAGACAATTTATAAATTGATTTCTACTCTTTTAATTTTGGATATGCTAGACTTAAAGAGATGCATCGTATTATCTTTGACAAGCAACTACCCATTTCCTGGGTGCAGTTTACTGTTTTGGTCACATATTTTTAAAACTTTGTCTTTTCTGTGTAACATTTATTTTGTCTTACTATGTTTGGTATAAATCTATACATTTTTTTAAAAGCAATGTCCTCCAAACATTTCTCCCTTAGATCAAGTGGTATTTTACTAGGGGTAAAAGAAAGACCTATTACTCTTATCTGCTAATAAGAGATTTTGGAGTCTATTTGGAGCCTGATTCCCTCCAACAATGTCCTGTAAATTCAACTTATCACTTCAGTACTACAATACAGCACAGTAGACAAGCATCTCTATGGTCTTATAAGGGAAACCAATACTATCCTGGTGTCAGAGAGCATTGAACAGGTCCCATTTTCACTGGACAAAGGATTTCTTTTAAGATACTCCAAAGGAGAAGGAAGATAATCAGAGTTCCCGTATAACTTTTCCTGTGTGTATTTCCAACCCTGAAATCCATGTTGACACAAAGAGAATGATGAATATTCATGTGAACATGCAGGGAGTAATGTGTGTTGTAAATATTTTCTCAATTTTAGGAACCTAAAGGAGTACCAAAGACTGTGTGTGGGGGTGGGGCAAGAGGGGAAAGAAACAGATGAAAGAAAAGGATGAATAAACAATAAGGGTATGTGGCCATAGGAGGTTTGTTAAATACATAAAAGCCTCAAAGCTAGATCTCTGGCAGCAACCTCAACCTCAAAGCCAGATACACCAAAGCAAAACATTGATCAGAAAACATTTCTAATTTTAAAGAAGAAAAATGTAAAAGGAAATTGAAGAGGAGACAACAGAGGGAAGAAAAATATTTAACTGTATTCAGAGGAATAAAATAAAAAATGAGAGAATGATTAAAACACAATATGACAAACACAAGTTTCCTTTCATTTTTCCTTTGTATTATAATCTGAGTTCAGTAACATGAGTGTATACTCTCTGCTCTGTATTTAAATTATCCTTCCGCTTTTTCAGGTTGGCCAGGGAAAAAGAAAAGATGCTCCCTTTCCTTTGACCATGCTGTCATTGTGTCCTGCAAATATTAATAGTATTTGTCAGCCTGTGGATGGCAAGGACCTTGGCTGCATGGAGCCCCGCTCATGCCTGCACCCTGCCCCCAGTGACCAGCTTAGCCTGCAGCATCCCCCCCCCCCGCCTCTGGCCTCCTGGCTGTGCTGCTACCTGGTTCCACACTACAGAGGCATGGGGGATCATAAAGGCCATTGTCCTGAGCTCCAGAAGATAGAGAAGTGAACAACAGAAAGAGGGCCTCTCTCAGGCTCCTTGATGAAAACTGAAGCCCACTGGAAAAGTGAAGAGAATCTCTGCAATAAAGGCACACCAGACCACCATACTTGGTAAGTTGGAGGGATCACCACCTCCCATCAGAAATTGGACTATCTTCAGGGGAAGGGCAGCTGGAACCTGGAGTGGAACCTTACAGCATTCAACCCTGCAGGAGGACAGGGAGCTTAACTTGGGACTTGCAGCCAGAAATCTGCCTGAATCTCATGGGTCTGCTACTGGCTTGATGAGACTCATTGACTTATATCTGCACACAGTTGCCCACGTTGTCTATTGTGACAGCATTGACATACCCTGAAGAAGGCCCTTCATTTTTATTTTTTATTTGTTATTTTCAAAAAAAATTTTTGCTCTTACTTTTAATTTTT